CGAGGCTGGTCAAGCATGCATTTTGGGGGCGATCTTCTTAGGTCCAGGGGAGACTCGGACAAGAGGGGAGGATGACCCGTTCGACGAGAGGTGAGGGTTCGTTTCCTCAGCTTGATGGAAGGATGCGAGTTGACGGAGGAGAGGTGTCTGACACGACTGGTCAATATTGTTAGCATGAGCGTCATCATCATCATCAGCAGCAACAACATCGATATTAACATCATGTACTACCTCGTAGCTATGGGCCTGACCAGCAGCCATGTGGACAGTGGGACATTGTGAGGTGGCCGTGTGGATAGGGGGATGAGATGGGCTATGAGATGGGCTATGAGATGGGCTATGAGATGGGCTATGAGATGGGCTATGAGATGGGCTATGAGATGAGCCGGAGATGGAGGCGCAGGTGGAGATGGCGCAGGCTGTTTGGCGATGCCGATGTGGATGGTGGATGGGTGGATGGTGGATGGTGGCCGGTGCAGATGGTGATGGTGGTGACGGTGATGATGGAGGAGGAGGGTCGCAGCTCCCCACAGTTTCTTTGCCGGTGGACAACATGGCTTCCAGATTGTCTTGCTGGTCATCACATCTCTCACAGATACCACCTCCTCCAGCTCCTCCTGCTCTACCACCACCACCGCCTCTTCCTGCGCCATCACACCCAAGTACACAATTCGGCATGCTCTGTACCGAGTACATTAGGACCTACACCAGCAGCATCACTGTCACTTTACCACTCATCAAATTTACCACCTGCACGTACCCACCCTCCCTCAACCTTCGATAGACCTCAAACAACAGCAGCAACAACAACCACCAACACTAGTTGTTACATTCTCCTCCCTCGTCCCCTGCTCGTCCTCTATCACGCCCCTTTGGTTCTCCTTCTCGCATACCTGACAGGTTGGACAAGGGTGACAAATTCATGGCTTGAGCCAGTCAAACCGCCAGACCTTGACCCTCTCCTTCTTCCTACATACAGTAGCCTTTTTCTTAGCTCCTTGTCCATCCTAATCGATGCGGCTACTGCACGCACCTCACGAGTCAATTCTGCCTCCTGCATCTTCTTTTCTTTCTGGAGCCTTTCCATTTCTATCGGGTCAATGCGATGCTGGTTACATAACGCCAGGGCCTCCCAACCAAAACAACCCCCCTTGCTCATGACCCCGGTCCTGCCATCATTCTCAACCTAGTCCATTGGATGTCCCATCCCTCTTCTTCCCCCTAAGTCTCGCCGGGAAACAAGCACACCACCTTTTGGAGCTAATACTGGTGACCTCTAGGACAGACCAGGTATCTTAGCCCGTCATGCACGTCGTTGAAGTTAACCATTTCCCCAGTCAAGATTGCCCATCTTATTTCCCACAGTTTCCCCGGATTCTTCCCTATGGCCCGTGGCACGGGTTCACCGGTGGTGGTCTCTAGCAGCATATATGATATTAGATCCGGGGGATTGACTCCTTCTGCCATCGCATTCTGACCAACCTTCTGTACTGTACGTGCGCAAGTCGGGTGGGAGAAGCCCCAAAAAAAGGAACTCTGTACACATCTGCATCTACGTGCATCTGCCTTGCTCTGTTCCCCGTCTAATCTACCACTTTCCACCAATCTACTTGCTAGCTCTTGCCCTGTCGATCTTTGACTTACCTCGGCCACAAGGGCGATCAGAGTATCATCGCTCGCAGAGGGGACTCTCAGGAAAAACTAGTTTCCAATACAACTTACGTCCTGGCTCACTTGGCCGCGTCCCGAGGTTGAGAGTCCGAGGTCTTGGTGTTGTGCTGAGCAACTGAGTCCCAGCCCATTCCCAGCTGGCTCTAACTATATTGGCAGCAAATCCTGCGCCGTGAATTGTTGTGTTGTCATTACTTGGCCAGGTTGCCGGCTTGCTGGGCCGGTCCATCTCAGAATGTTCCACACATTCGAAACAGCCCAATATCACAGCCCAGAACAGGCCGAGCAGAATGCCAATTCGGCCGCAAAACGGAGGACCTCCACGGTGAGGGCTTGCGAGCCATGCCGCCGAAGAAAGATTAGATGCAGCGGCGAGCACCCCTGTGAAACCTGTCAGTGGTACCGGAAGGCGGCCTCGTGTCATTATACCGAACCAAGACAACGACAGATGCCATCCAGAAGGTGAGCAGAGGGACTGCTCATGCCTCCAAATTGGCCATTTCCTGACCTTTTGTGCACAGGTCTGTCGAGAAGATCTCTCAGACGCTGCAGGAGTATCGGACCATCCTGCAGAAGCTCTTTCCAAGCGTGCATCCAGACCAACTGAAAGACCTTCCTCGTGAAAGGCTGGTCGAGCTCATTCAGAAGAGCAGTCCATTTCATCCTCCCTCGCCTCGAACACCCAGCGTGGAGGAGAAACCGCCTCCACTAAATCCTGATGCTGCCAACCTCGAGCAGCTGCAACCCACCCCTGAAGATAGCAACGACGGCTTTTCTGACCGCAAGACCCATGCGTTGAAGGGCATCACAGACGACGTCAACATGCTGTCCTTGTCGGTCAAGCAGAATCCATCCTATCTGGGGATATCGTCTGTCATGGCAGTTCTCAGAGTCATCACCTGGCTCGACCCAGACTGCCTGACCAAATCTCCCGAAAGGAGCGTTATTCCAACTCGCGAGCCATCTCCGGCTCCGGAGAACCACAAGGCGGAGCTTGATCAGACGAGAGTCGACAGTTCTTCGGCCTCTGCTTGGGACGAGATTCCCTTGATCAACGCATACTTCACCTATGTGCATCCATTCATACCCCTGATCGAGGAGCAGGTCTTCAGGGATACATATATTGCGGCACAAAGAACCGACTCTAGGTGGCTCCTGCTTCTCAATAGTGTCCTGGCCATGGGTAGCGTGGCCGCAGGGACATCAGAGGACGCGGGTCATCATGTTTACTTCAACCGCGCGAAGGAGCATCTCACCATGGACACGTTGGATTCTGCCCACCTCGAGACTGTCCAAGCCCTGGCCATCTTAAGTGGCTTCTACCTTCACTACGTCCAGATCCCCAACCAGGCAAATGCCTTGATGGGCGCCACCTTGAGAGTTGCCACCACGTTGGGACTGCATCGGGACTACACCGAAGGCGTCGGTCCTGAAAAGGTCCAAAAGGCGTCATTCTCCATCGAGATGCGACGTAGAATATGGTGGTGTACCTTCATGCTGGATTCTTGGGCCGGCAACACTCTGGGTAGGCCGAGTATGGGCCGAATGAGCCACGCCATCACCGCGAAGCCGCCCCAAGAGGCCATCGGCCAGTCTACGGCCATGCTAGCATTGGTGCAGGAGAACGTCCGCTTCTGCATCATCAGTACAAGGATGGAAGATGCCCTTGCCGTCTCACCTCTCCTAGAAGAGTATGAACGCCATACCTTGGATGCCCTCTATCTAGAATGGTACAAGCACTCGTCTGTCCAGGCCGAATCTCCACGACCAAATCTCAATGAGTCGCCCGGCGTCACTGTTCTCAAAAATGTGATGAGATGGCGCTACTTGTCGAATCGAATCATTCTCCATCGCCCTGTTCTGCTGTGGTATGCCATGCGCAAGATCACATGGGAGAACCTCTCGCCGGAGAGACAAGCAGCAATTGAGCTGTGCCGCGGCGTGTGTGCGGATTTGATCAATGACATTGCCTCCACCTGGCGAGGTCAAAAAGCGTGTCAAATATCCGGGTGGAATGCCACTTGGCTCCTCTATCAAGCCGTGATGGTTCCCCTTCTCTCGCTCTACTCGGATCCTCACGACGCCGACGTGGTGGAGCACAGTCGCCATCAAGTGGAAGTTGCCATGCGGGTGCTGAAGGAGCTTCAAGGCTGGTCCACCACCGCTCGTCGATCTTTGGAGGTCATTATCAGGCTGTACGAAGCCAGTAAACGGCATTCAGCCGCCCTAGCAGAATTCCAAGAGACATACCTGCCGAACGCTGTGGACACGCCTGCATCGTCAACAACACCCGCTCCGCAACTGCCCCAATCAACGACAATGATGTCGACATCCGCGGCGTCGTCTTTCCGGCCCACTTACATCGACGTGTCGTTTGCAAATACGTACGGCAACCTGGACGACCTGAACACAGCCACGCAGGAGCTGTTCATGGACAACATGTTCGACACGCTGAACTGGAGCACGAGCTGGGACAGTCCCATTGGCGGACCCCAGATGATGAACGGCTGGGATTACAGCACCATGCACCACTGGGCGGGAATCCCCCAGGCGGATGAATATTTTGGCGGGTTCGGCCTGTCTGACGACCCGAGCAGCAGCAGCCAGATGGGAATGGGAGCCGGAATAGGAGGATCAGGGACCGGGACTGGGACTGGGCATGGGCCTGGGCCTGGGCCAACAGCACCAGGAGCAGGCCCGTTCGACGTGGACATGGACATGCACCACGCCGCCGCCGCCGCCGCCGCTAATCCGGCCGATATCATGAACAGACACTATGCACGTACGAGTGTAGATCGTCAACACTCGTTATGAAGCAGGAGGGAGGACTTGGAACTGGGGGGATCGGGCTGGGTAGGTTCCCATCGCAACCAAAGCCATCAATGAGACGAAACGGGCAAACAGGACTCTTATTCCGTTTCTCCCTCGCGCTGTTTTCTTCCTCCCTACCCATGGGCCATCCGTTTCTGATTCCTTTTTGACCCTATTCGTGGTTATCATGTATATTATCTCCTTCCTCTCGATGTAGACTTGACATGACCAATGATGATTTGATCGATGCGAAGAGGGAGAGGTTTTCCTTTTCTCTCTTTATTTTTCCTTTGTGTATGTGTATATTTCTCGATCTACATCTCTATAGCTTGTATCTCTAGGTTCATTTCTTTTCGTCCTCTTCTCTCTACGTCCAAACCGTCAGAACCCGGCCGATCGGCCCCATTCACCACCCCTTGTTCTACATATCTAGGGCGGAGCTATAAATAGAGGCAGCTGAGTAGTTAGCTGGGTAGTTAGTCGGGCTCCGCTACGCCAGGTGACTTCTGCCGCCGCCATTACCACCCGAACTTCTCGGCCCAGACATCAATGTCCCAGCCCCCTTGTCGGACAAGCTCGGCTGCCTCGTTCCGCACGTCGCGCACTAGCCCGTCTGGGCCGGAGACGATAATGCAGATCTTATCCCTGTGCCTATCACGATTTCTGCTGCTGCTGTTCCTGTCTCTATCCTTCAGTGGGAAAGAAAAGTCTTTAGGGTCTCTGGAGTTGGGATCGGGCCCCGGTAGCGCGGGAAGATCGGGTGAAGATGGTGATGAGGAGGAGGAGGAGGCATCTGGTGTGCCTTCTCCGACTGCCGTGGAAGACGAGGAGGACGACGGTGCCGACGAATAACAAGACTTTCCAACTGCGCCGGCCGAGGACGAGACAGACGTAACCCAGCTGTAGATCTCGCTCTGCATATCTGGTCGACCACGTTCAAGGCCGGCAGTCCTAGTGTCGAAGGTCCGCGTCACCAAATTAGCACCCGCATCGTGCCGTCTTTCTTGCGCAGCAGCGTCCAGAACATTTGCATCCGGATGATCAGTCAGTGGCTCCTCTGCCTCTTCATCATCGCCTGACTCGACCACAGTCGCTCGCGGGACCATGCAGATCCACTTCCCATGCTTCTTCTCCTGCCTTACCCAGAAGTGCGCGTACTTCGACCCCGGTACCCACGGAGTGGAATCTGCAACGACGGATGGCATCGTCTTCAACCCATTCGTGTACGTAGTCCTTGTGCTGAGGAACAATCCGGCATCTGCGTTCCTCTCATTTCGGACACGAATGGCCCAGGAAAGCGGATAGGTAACTGCGATTCCGCTGCCCCCGGCGACGAAGCAGACTCGATCTGCTGAAAGTGCAGCCGCTAGTGCTGAAGTGCTGCCGTAAGGGCCATCAAGGACGATTTCACAGTGTTGGTGGTGGCGGGCGTAGCGGAGGAGAGACAGAGAGAAACCGTCGATGGCGCGGACTGTGAGTTGGAGAGGCCATGATTCCATGGCCACTGTGGTTTTTGGTGGAGCAGGTGAAGCGATCGTGAATGGATGCGCCTGAAAGCGGTATTTAAAGCCCATGGAAGGGACGGTGAGAAAGACATGTTGACCGGGATGCCACCCGTGATGGATGTTTGTTCGTATTCCCAAACCTGGTGGCTTTTGGTAGCGGAGGGGGACTTCGCAGTGGACCAGGACGGTGTGGCCATCAGGAGCGACTTCTAACGTTGCAATGAATCTGCTAGACGATAACGTTACGCGCCAAAGGAGTCTGTCGACAGCCCAAATTGCAAAGGCTACGCAGACATAAGGGCGAGCCGTAGGGTAATGCAGGAAAAGGAAGATCAGAGCGGCAAATTGGAAAACGATGTGGGCTACCAAGAAAGTTTCGTAGCAAAGATGGCGGAACCAGCCGGTGCTCGTGAGGTAGACGAGATAATACGATAAAACGGCGCAGAGGCCGAGGAAAACAAGTTTCGTGCTGAGGAAGCCGGGCAGAGATGATCCCCGAGGACGGAGGATGGTGTACCAAACAGCAAGCATCCCGCCCATGTGGATTACAGCGAAGCAAGTCATCCACTCACCGAGGCGACGGTGGAAGATGTTGAGACCCTCGTAAGACCATCCTGTAAGGTATTTGGTGGGTTGGCTATTTTTGGCGGCCAGGAAGTAGAGGATTGGGAGATTCGCAACAAAGAGCAGACCAGCTCGATCGGCGAGGATGAAGATCCATGACAGCGACAATGGGACGCAGTAGAAGAGGTAGAAGAGGTTGACAGCGAGGAAGAAGAGCACGACAAGGGAGACGGCGTTGGTGGGCAGGGTATTTGAGGGAGAGGTGACCGCTGCGATGGGTCGAGGCTGGAACATCAAGAGCGATTTGAGTCGATTTAGACGAGAGGGTCGCGTTCGAGGAGCCGTGTCTGGCTGAGCCAGCAAAGCCGTCCTCTCTCCATTGTATAGGTTGTCATCTCTCTGAGAAGGCGTACTTGTCTTGGTGAATGTACTGCTGCATGATGGCGACGGGCTGGCAGCGACACTCGCATGGTCTATGAGACCTTGGCCATTCCGATTCCTGTTCTTGCGTCGACGCACGACCCTCTTATAGAAACGGAATCCACTTGAAACCGCCATTGTGACCAAGATCCATGCATAATATGTCAAGATGAACTTGCGATGCCATAGGATGGCGGCGACAATCTTGCGGATGTGTTCCGACTGGGGGACACCGCCAGTGTTGGCCAGGGTGTCAACGAGGCCGCTAGAGGGTTGGAGGGACAGGCGGAAGATCTGAAGACATTCTTCAGGGAGGACGGCGTCGTCCATAGAGCATGACAGGTGACACGAGGCAGAAGTAAGTATATTCCTCGCTATGTACGAGAGGCGCAGGCAATGCCCATTGCGAGTCGTGGCAGCGACTTATCTTATCAATCAAGATCAGACGAGATGCCAAGCCAGCCTCTCTCCTTTGGGAAACACTATGACGCCGCCCTGTCAGCCTCCCGTCGACGTCCTTGGCATCTCCGCAATCCAGTCCATGCCGCTTTAAGCCCGGTCTAGCGACCCGTCACCACGAGGCATGACACCGTGAATTCATATTACATGAGGAAATCGCCTTGAAGAGCAAATCGGAACCACTTGAATCCAGCTCGCCAGGGAGTTGTCACCGCGTACCCTCAGCCTGGCGAACATGGGTTCTGGCTCCTCGTCGAGAAACACGCTGTGGCCTGTTCATGACGCTCGCCTGTGTTCCACTGCTGGTGTGCTCAAAGGCGGACATCCGACCTCTGGAGGGCTTGAGGTTGCTCCTCAGACGTCTTCCGTCACCTCAATGTCATCCCGTTTACGGCCATTGCGCCCGGCGGCCCCCCCGCCGCAGCCCATACCAGATTCCACACTGGTCGTGGGCCCTGTCCGAGCACCGAAGAGACGATCACATACCTCCTCTGCCTGCCTGCCCTGCAGGAAAAGGCGGCGTAGGGTACGTGGCTCCCTGCTTCCTTCAACCCCCTGAGTGTCTTGCCGGCACTATGCTAAGGGTGGGTGTTACTTCAGTGTGATGGCCAGAAACCGTGTACAAGTTGTGTGGTTGCCAAGCGTGAGTGCATCTACCCGACCGACCACCGAAGTAGGATATACCGCCAGACCTTATTAGCAGAACACCGCGAGAGCAAGACAGAGGTTAAAACGCTTCTTGGCGCGTTCCGAACCACTTCCGAGTCGGTAGCGGCCGAGATTCTACGGTCTCTGCGCTCTGGGGCTGATGTTTCCACTGCACTCGAGGCTGGAGAGGCCGTCCTGGCTCAACCCGATGTGACTTTGGGACAACCCTTGGAACAACGGTACGACTTACCGCGGCCCAAAGAATCCCCTTCTGTGCTCTCCCTGTACGATCTTCTGCAACCTTTCGACCAAGCCTCATGTTGTCTCAGTTCCAATGGGGGAAACCGGGTCCGATGGACCACGGTAACCCAAGACCCAGAGATCATCAGTCACCTGTTGGAGCTGTACTTCACATGCCATCACCCCATTTGCCCCGTCATTCCCGAGTCACTCATTCGAGCCGATATGGCCACTGGAGGACTGATGTATTGCTCGCCTACCCTGATGAATGCTGTGTTTGCTGTTGGCTGCACATTTCTGGGCTTGCAAGACGACGTCAAGAGTGGCAACGACCCTTGGCCGTCTGTGGAAGCATTTTTCAATGAAGCCGAACGGCTGTTGTCAGAACACCCCGAGCCACGTTTCACTGCTGTCGCAGCACTGAGCCTTCTTGCAATGGTCGAGAACCTGCACCTTCGCTATCAGCGTGCTTGCATGTTTTCAAGTCGAGCCTCATGTATGGCACTCTTTCTGGGTCTTCACAGGGGGAGAGTAAGCGAGAAAGAGCAAATCATGACCGAGGCCGACAAATTGACTCTTGCGGCCGTGCAGCAGCAGCTATTCTGGGTCTGTCTCCAGGTGGATCAGTGAGCTGCCAGGAAAGCGTTCACTGGGTAGAGTGGCTGATTTGTACAGAATGGCTTCCATCAACGCAGGTTGGCAACCTCAAATTGTCGTCGACCATGTCGAGATAAGACGGCCCAGCACCCATACAGGTACTGCAACCCACCTCTGCACGCCATCCCCAACATCGTTAAACTGCGGAGACCCCCGCGGCTGCTGGTTCTACCTGGCGGACCTGGCGAAGATTGTGCACACGACCCGACTCCCACCCAGATCTCTCTCTAGCGCCCACAAGAAGATCAATATAGAGCATTGGGAATCTAGGTATCGGGTGTGGTACAACCATTTACCCGCCGCACTCGCCATCAGTGACCCTGCATCCGCACACGTAATAGTGGTCCATATGTGGTACCATGACAGCTTGATACAATCATTTCGTCCTGTCATGGCTCTTGGCCTGGCCGACAGAAGCCTGACGGCGAGTCGGATCTGTCAAGACGCTGCTAGGGCGATTACTGACCTCTTCAGCCAGTACCGAAGGTCTTTCGGCTTGAAGGGTATCAATGCCATGATATGTCAAGCGCTGCTCGATGCCTATCGCGTTCATCTCGGTTGTTTCCCGTCGACCATGAAGGACATATTGACTGTGGTACAAGCCTTTCAGGAGCTGTCGAAGCGACAACCATGGGCTCATACATGGCTCGAGAGCCTCGAATATCAGACCCTACACTCTCCTGCTGCGGAATCTGCCACACTAGCGGAGGTGTTCGGCAGGCATGTTACCATGGTAGAGACCATTCCTGTCCAAGAATGTGCAGGCGCGGTACCCTCAATCAGTTATGATTGTGACATGGCAAAAACCAACAGTAATGTGAACGTCGCGCCGTCGGATGCCGAGACAGCTGCCCCATGTCGAACACTTCGCGAGGAAGAGGATTACTTCTTCTCACCTTTTGCCCGACGTTAGTGTCGTATAACGGGGCATCCCTGGTTGGAGGTTTGATCGCGTGCAGGGCTTCAGGGAAAGCCGACAGCATCATCTCGTAATACCGGCATATTGCACTCTGGTGGTTCAGCTGGCTATTAAGGCACTCATGTATCTCGTCGGCTTTCCAAGCACGCAACATGGGTAAGCTTTGACCTATGTCCAATTCATCCATCAGCACAATGTGTCTGATGCACGTTGACGTCTAGTCGCATGTGAAAGAATCTTCTTGACTTGACATCACAGCGAATGCCAACCCTTGGGGTTGACGACTGGAAGCGTTTTTGCAGACCGAGTGGTAATGGTGGGCGTCCAGACAGTTCTAGGCTGCAGAGCTCCGCCGATGCCTGACAACCACCCCCCAACTTGATCAACCAGTCAAATGAGATCGGAGTATTCTTCCTGGCCAGACCTCGCCCAACTCCGGACGATCCGTCTCCCCCACCCTGAACTAGCGATTCCAGATTTCCTGATACCAGTTCGTGTGACGGCGGGTTATTCGCCCTGTTCTAAAGGGGAACATACAAGTACCTTGATACAGGAGTGAGACCATCGCCACCGCAAAACATTCCTTTACAGAGTATCCCCGTCCTGTCTCTCTGTAGTAGTCTATTTGTCTCATCTTCCAGAAATCTAGCCAAGGATGTCCGTCCTGCCGGAGCAACTTGCCAGGCTCTTCTCTTTGCCCGTGGGTCGGGAAAGGCTCCAAAATAAAATCGCCTCGTCTCCTGTGGAAATTCTCAACAATCGCAAGCTGGCAAATGCTTCCATCACACGGCTGTTGATAGACTGCTTCTTTTCTTGCACCGGCACCTTGTTCTACATTTTTTCTCCTAGGGATGCGGCTGAGCTGTTCCAATCAGCCTATATGGACACTGCGGGTGCTACAAAGGCCTCACTGGGTGCCTTGTGTGCACTGGCCTCTGTGGCTAGTCAGTATGACGACCTCGAAATTGACGGCTCGCTACGACAGTCGTACTATGAAACGGCGAAATTCTATCTTGACGAGTGTATCGAGGAGGACGAAGTTCTTGGCATGCGCGTGCTCTGCTGCTTGGCCATATACTGTGCTATGGACAGACGACTGACTGCGTGGACGTGGACCCGTCAGCGCAGCTCAATTTTTGAACCGAAGCGCAAAGACCGCTGACCGTGACAAGTGACCGGCTTAAAACTTGCCAGGCTTCGAGGACTTCACCTCAACAGACGCCCTTTATCCACATCCCCCGAAGAATGGATTGCGCAAAGAAAGGTCTTGAGGACTTTGATTGTCCTGGGCTGGTAAGCATCCAACTTGTGCTACGAAAGCAGGAAGATGAGAATTCTAACTCAGAGGCCCCAACAGCTGGGTCGCGTCGACTCTCGGCATAAATCCCCAGATTATGGAGGCATTTCAACCAGGGTTCCACGAGCCCTTTGCGGTTCTAGAGGACCATCCGCCCTTTGAATCGGTGGCACAAGCGCAAATGACCTCGATCTGCATACTCACGTCGGGCGTACTTCGAGACGTCTTTTTGCCCACAGAACTCAGTCTTGTTGCCACTCGAGAGTACAAAATAAAGATAGTCGACTGGCTAAGCAAGCTCCCTCCGATCATGCAGTTAGAATCGTTGATGCAAGATCAGGACCTGACACTTGTGCAAAGACGGTGTACTTTCCTCGTTCATCTCAACTACCTGGGAGCGCAACTCCTTCTCTACCGTCGCCATTCTCTCTACCTTTCCACTGTGCATCGGGATGATTCATGGGAGCTGGACGGGGACGTCGCCGAAGCATTGGCCTATGCCAAAGACGCACTAGACGCCGCTACTCAATCGTCTCGGATCTTCGCTCATCTTCTGTCTGAGCGTGCGACCTTCAAGCGCTCCTGGCTGGTAATCTACCAGTCTTTTAGCGCGTGCACCATGTTGCTCTTCCACGTCGCTCAGAAGCGGCTCCACGGAGTCTCTCTCGCCCACTGTGAAGAAGAGCTTTCCAGTGCAGAAACGTGCCTCACCACTCTGCACTTTTGCTCGGAAGGCGATATCGTTGCCAAAGGTTACTACGACATGTTGATCTTTTATTACCGTGCTTTGAAAATTACACCAGAGCATGCGCCTACCGGAACCGCCCATGGTTCCGCAATGCAAGAGGACTTGGAACTGTCGTCGATGGACGGCCCTGCCCGTCTCCAAGGGGAGTCCACACCGGATAAGATTGTAGAGGGTGTTTCCAATCTTTCCAACCACGCCTTTCAGCACAGCCGGCGTGATGGAATGGTGCCTCGTCCTCCTCCTCCTCCTCCTCCTCAGATCTCAGACTCCGTACGTCGGTGGTTTCCAGAATTCACTACAGGACCCTATCTTAGGCTCTCTCGCGACACTGCCATTTACCAGGACGCGCCAGTCGTTGGCGGCCCGTTTCAATGGTCGGCCAACTCTATCCCGCGACCTTAACATGGCATAAGGCACAGGTTTTCGAGGATTCCCTGAGCGGTGTGTTAAGGGGGAGTGTGTGCCACGATGACATCCTTGCGAGCGAGGGGGTGTGCTTCGAAGCGCGTTGAGCAAAGTTGCCGTGTTGAGGCGATGCTGGCACGAATCGAAGAGGTGCCCCGCTGCAAAAAAAGGAGTTACGGCCTTTGTCATGAGGCTAAAAGGAGGGAAATCCCCGTTTTATTTTATCCTTTCCAATCTGGTTTTTCCATGTATCGATGCTTTGCTGCGTCATGTTATTTGTTGCCATCTTAGAAGCTCCAGAGTCACCAAAAAAAAAAGATCATGGGAGTTACATGCAATCCATGTTAGTACAAGTCGCACACCTTGGCCGCCCTAGCCCGGGGAGAATTGTTGGGCGCGCCAATATCAGCGCCTCCTTCCATTATTCATCTCCCCTTCCGCAACGTCCAACGATGACTTCGCCGACCCGCCAATGGTGGCGGCTGAGGCTGAGCCCTCTTCAAAGCTCTCCATGCTCTCCCAGCTCGTGGAGCTTTCGAGCAGGTGACGCTCCTGTTCTTCGACCTGCGCGTCGTCGGCACCCGTTGCGACTGATTTGTGCTTCGTTGATGCGGAACGCCGTTTCTTGATGCGGAACCGGACGGCGAGAGCGAAGCCCGTTACCGCCATGATGAAGATGACCATCATCAGTACCGCAGTGGAGATCATGGTGCTGAGAGAGAGAGAGAGCTCAAATTAGCACTGTCTGTCTGCCTTTGGGAGGAGGACTATCAGGGCGCAATGAATCCTGTGCTAGCTCACCTTCTGCTTGTCTTCTTGCTTTCCTGCGTTTCCGGGCTGGTTTTATGTTCGCTTTCGGGGGCGCTCAGCTCGTTCTCTTCCTCGTGGCTATCCGCCGCATCGCACGAGATCGCAGGCAACGGGCGGTCCTTGTGCTGTTGTTGTAGCTCCAAGGGCGCCTCGATCATCGTGGCAACCAGGCCTGTTTCTACGTGCCACTCCATGTGGCAGTGAAACAGCCAGACGCCGGGGTTGTCGGCCCGGAATCTCAAGACCATGAACCCCCCGGGCTCCAGCAAGAGTGTGTCCCTCCTTACGGGGGTCCTTGGGAAGTCCTCCTCCCCGAGGCCACTGCTGAAAAAGCTGCCCGCTTTCTTGGCGGAGCGGTACACCGCTTGGAAGTTGTGGCCGTGCAGATGGAACGGGTGCCGAACCATGTGGTGGTTGTAGAGGATGATCTCGACGACCGCGTTGCGCTGCAATACGAATGGATTGGTTGATGCACCGTATATCGAGCGGTCTGTTGCCAAGGGCCCACTGGTTAACGCTGTGTAAAGCGATGGAATCTCTGGGGCAGCGTATCTCGTCGAGTTAAAGAACCATCTAGGGAATACAAAGTCAGCCACCTTCAGCCAAAAACAAAGGCTTGGCAGTAGGGTTTTTGAAGAAGGCAGAAGGGAGGGGATTCGCTTACTTGATGCCACCACTGTGTGACATTCCCAGACTCAGGACGATGCTCTGGTCCGGTCGAGGTAGTAAAGGCATTTCGTCGTATGGCTCCAATGTCACATCGTCAATGGGGTCGTAGTTGGAAACAAGCTGGGCCTGTGGTAGAGGTTGATCGGGCGCGTAGACCAGCCATCCGGTCACGTTCTGACTTGCACTGTTGCGTATGTTGGTCAGGCTCTAGAGGAGACCTGTTAGCCAAGCACATGTCTGGCGAATGATCAAATGCATACAGGGTCCATGGAAGCAACCATGGGGTAGTTTCTGCTGCGATCCGACTGGGTCGTGACGAGGAAGCTGCACCGCTGTCCGGAGGAAAGGAACATCATGGTGGTCTCCGCCGGCTTGGTATAAACGCCGTCCACCTCGACAATCTTGATCGTGTGGCCTTCGATCCAGAAATACTGACCTGCGAACGCGCCCATGTTGGCCAGGCGCACCAAGTATGTCCTTTCGGGCACGACTGGGATTTGAAGCCCCTGGGTATCGTTCAGCAAGTTGGCGTCAGGCACTGGCTCCTGCGACATCATGCCTCCATCGTGCAGATAGTGGGGAATCAGGTCGGGCATCTGATCGTGGTACCAGTCCGAAACGGACAGGACCAACTCGTCGTCATATTGTCCACGGTATGGATGATCCGGGTCACGAATGAGCAGTGGCCCTCGGAGACCGTCAGGATATTGGCCCTGGACATGGGAATGGTACCAGTAGAGCCCAACCTGGGAAGCCTACAAACGCACGACTTTTCAACAAGGGTGATCTTCGGGGAGGAAGTGTTGTATGTACGAACCTTGAATCTATACGTGAAAGATGAACCAGGAGTGATAGGGCACTGATTGACTTGGGCGGCACCATCTAGCTCGTTGGTGCCATTCATAAAGAGGCCATGGAAGTGTAGAGATGTGGACTGGTTCCCAAGCGAGTTGAGCACGTTGACCACGATTGTGTCCCCCCGATCCGCGTTGATGGTTGGAGGCGGCCACTGGCCATTCACGCCGATGACTGGCCGGCTGAACCCATCGGGGCTTGCAGGCACCCACGAAATGTTAAAATCATACGTGACAACAGTTCCGGATGTCGTTGCAGCGCACAAGATGGCGGCGAGGAGTGTCTGCAGCAAGGTCAAAAATGCCATCCGCAACGAGCGACGACGACGTAGTCTTTCGTGTTTTACTCTGTCGCAATTTTGCAATTTTGATAATTAATTGCATGGTCATGATGGACAAGCAATTAGTTATCAACCTCCCCAGCGGTACATGAGGCTTACAGGGGCGATGAGGCGTCTTCGGGCTTCAAGACCCACTACCACGCTTCCTCAATTGGCCCTATCGGACGCCCGTTGTGCCTCCGAGTAATAAGAAAACTTGCTCACCTTTTCTGACTTGGACGAGTCCTTCTCCACTCTCCCTTAGTGAAGGCGGAAATCATCAGACGAACCCGGTGCCTGGATCTGATCGCGGGCGGGAGGGAGAAAGATAATAATAACAGTCACGCTATGGGATAAAGCATTACCAGTCTGTCGGGCTACAGGTGGTCTGACGCTTTCCACCAGAAAGACACCATAAGTGCCAAGAACCCAAGACCTTTGTTTCTCGGGGCACTTCATAGCCGGCATACCCTAAAACCAGGTCCTGGTCCATGGTGAATTATTGATGAATTATTTCTCGCCAAAAGGGGTTCTCCCTGCGCTTGGCCAATTGCTTGTCCAAGAAATTTAAGGGGAGCTGAATGATCTCGTCGGCAAAATATCATGGGAAGACCGCGGTATCTGGGCTGCGGTTGCGACGGTGGGCGAGACAGAGGTGAACAAGTACTGTAACCTTGATCAAGACAAGCGAACCGTCACTCCCCCTACTCTTGATGAGTATATGACTTGTTGGAGAGCTCAAAGGAGAAGGAAATTGCAGAAAGAGAGGATGGCGGAATGCTCAACGGGAATAACTGAAGTCCGGAACTCCTTTCACGTGACTCTTTGACGCCCTCGGGCGCTTCATCCTCGGCTCCTTCTCCGTCTTGGCGCTGGTGTGCCAGGAGCGACTACGCCCTTTTTAAAGCCGATATGTTCGCGCTAGGCTACTTGTCTCAACCAAAAAGACCGATGGCAAAACCTAGACCACTACCTGGTTGGCATTCTTTTCGATCCTATGAAAGGACGAGACCGACACCCTCTGTACTCCACAGAGCATCGCGGAGCGAATACGAGTGAAGTCCCCTTTTACTGGCCCCGGTCACCTGTGCCTTTCTTCAGCTGAGCTCCCAAGTTGTATTTCGTATTCCAGCATCGAACTCCTTCTATCTCCATTCAAACAATCGAACTCAATTAGGACCGGCCAAACAAGAACCTCTGTCCCGTGCATGACTGAGCATGCCAGCAACTTCGCCAATTATGAGGCAGTCTGCCTGATGTCGTCGGCCGTCTCGCTTCTGGGACGCCAATGACAATGGCGGCGCTGATACAACGACTTGGGTCAGCCTTACAGGGCTAGCAGCACCGCCGTGACACAAATCTTAGCTTTCTCAGGCAATTTGCTTGGTAAGGCTCGTTGGGCGGCACTCTACCTGGCTTGAGAAGAAGCATGCTCTAGTTCAATCTGAGCTGACGCTGTACACAATCGGGCTTTGGAGATGCACCGTTCAAGGTGGCCCAGAGGAGTGAAAGCTGCGCTTTTATCCTCAGAGCTCCCAAGGACGACGAGCCATGATATCTGACAAAACTGTCAATGGACTCGTCCGACGATGCACCACCTGCCCAGGCTGTGCGGCCAGAGTTCAAGCAGGTAACTGCCAATGCCAGAAAGTCACTTGTTGATAGGCGAGACGTGCTGCTGTTTTACGAAAGTGTCAAAGTATGTTCCCTGCGATGCCTATTCGGTCATGGACTTTTCGCACGCTCATCCCTAAGTGCATCAAGGCCTCATAACCTTAAGGAACTAGAGCTAAGCCATACCCATTGCTTCACATTTAGCTTTCCATCAGCCAAATCCAAGCATCGAGTTTTGTTTTACTCTTTTTGGGGTCGCTGAAACCGGTGAGAGATAGCCTCTCAGAGTGATGCTACTACCTATTGTAAAGTGAGTCGACTCTGTGCTGCGGCAGCTGAGGCCTGTCCATTCGCCAACGACTTATGATGCACCCTCGTCGTGACAGGCTTGGAAATGCATAAATATCTCCCCTGGACCAGATGTCTCCCCGAGCGAGCATTCCAGTTCCTCGGTTAAGTGTCTTGTCTGGTCAACGGAGCTGCCCATCTTTGGTCTATAAAATGGCTTCTCCAGCGAAGTGTGTATTCCTCGCCGGTATTGCTCTTGCTACGGTAATGCTGGGCCAGGATTGTGGCAGTAAGACGCCTTGTCATTTGGGTCCAGTCCACAGTAACTGACAGTGTAGGACTCACCGTTTTCACCGACAGGGGAGCCAGTTTAAACTCATTCAACTGCGACGCATTCATTGACGACGCTATGATGCCATTTCTTGCGTGGTTCAATGGTACTACCACGGTAAGGACTCCATCTCTTTTAGAGACATGTCATCCATCTCCCGAGACCAGAGCTGAGAGATGTTTGCAGCTCGCACTGACTGGCGGACTGGCGGCTGGATGTCCCGACACAACCTGGCAACCGCTCAAGAACTCTTGGCTCATCGGCGGCATGACTGTCCCCGGCAACGCAACGCTCGACCGAACCAAATACGATAACAACACCTTTTACTTTGACATTCCCAAGCCCAAACTTCACTGGCTCGGCTGGACCCAAGGGTTCGAAGTTTGTGACAACAGGGGATGCGCCTACGACTGATGCTCATGCTTGAAGTCAATTGAGCAGCTCGAGGTGCGAAGGGCGAGGCTTGAAAGCGGCACTGAGGAGCATCTCTCGGAGAAACCTTTGGCCATTCCGCAGCCTTGTCATTCCTTGTTCTCCTCGGCCGAACACGGCAACGACAACGACGGCATCCACCTATCTCAACTCCCCCCCTTACTTGCTTTCATTCCGAGTTCAAGGTGGTTAAATAGGATAACATTCACATCGTTGAGGTCTGGTATTCCTTCATCAAACGACGATGCTCCTGTATCTCCCCACAAAGGCCACCATCGCCCAAGGTAATTAATATCGTCCGCATTCCAACCGTTGTCGAGGTCTGCAGAACAACAGGCCACATTCCACAATGTGCTCGGCCGCAATCAGATGATGTTTACGCGCACTAAGCATCTTTATAACCGGGTTTCCTGCATTATGATTTGTTTTCCGTGCCTTTCTTTGTTCGGTTTCACGCTCTCCTCCTCCCTGTCTAGGGGATTTCTTTGTTCTTGTTCGCAAAAGACCCATACTTCCCTTCCACTCGTTTTCGTCCAATTCTTGCTTGAGCTAGCTATTCTGTCCCTTTCTTCTTCCGTCCCATCTCGTCCGCGCAGAAAAGACAGAACACTTTTGCAGGTTCTCGCAGCAAATTAATTCACACCACCAGTGGCCAAAATGCATCGTGCTCTTATCTTTAAGCTCCCGTTGCTCCTTTCGGCTGTTGCTGTTGCAAGACCTCAGACACCTGCGGATACCAGCGCGTTGAGCGGGTTGCCGGCTTGTGCGGTAAGTTTTTCTTTTTGTCAAGAAACTCGTTCCGTCTGTTCACAACGTCCAATCCTCTTTCTAACGTTGTGTCCCCGATCTTATAGCAAGATGCCGCCAACGCTGCCCTGGCCTCCTCGGGGTGTCCGGTGAACGACCAAAACTGTATCTGCAGCTCGCAGGCCTTCATCAGCGCCATCACCACTGCAGTCACGCAGACTTGCTCCCCAGCCGATGTCCAAGGTGAGAATCACCCAAAAGCCCCGGTCTTCTACTTTCCCAGGAGAAAAGTAAATGCTGACTGACGTTCGCAACCAAAGCTGCTCTCGTATTCGGCCAGAATTTCTGCGGTGCGGCCCTCGGAGGACCCGGGGGAAGCTCCTCTTCATCCGGTCCTTTACCTACCGTCGACGCAGGAGACACCGCCAGCTCGACAGTTCCGATCGCCAGCCCCACTGACAGCGGTGACAACGCCTCCACGACCACCGTGCCAGGGACAGTGACTTCGATGACAAGTGTCGCCGACGCCACGGACAACATGATGACCACCAACCCCTCGGCGTCGATTCTGCCGTCTAGCGTGACGGGCATGATGACGACCACACAATGCACCACGACGACAACGATGATGACAACGGTCGCGAGCAGGCCAACGGGGGCGTACAACGCGACCTATACTGGCGGTGCTGCGGCGCTGAGGATTGCAGCGGGCCAAGGTGTGATGGCGGCCGTCATGGGCGTTGCGGGCGCAGTGGCTTTGTTGTGAGATATTGACCGACCGCAAGAGAGAAGAGGGATCGGAAATTTAGGGTTTTAGGTTATGGGGACCTGAGTAAAGTCCTTGGAGGGCGGAGAAGCAGCAGGAGGAGAATGTTGTGACCCTCATTGAATGCTGGATTTTTTCGATAGCATATACCATACTACTAATACCATAATCGGTTGCGTTCTCATTTCCGGACGACGAAAGACGAAGAAGTCGAAAAAATGAGGCCTCTGGAAGAAAGGGAGAATGAGAATTCGACTGCTGCTAACGTTGACTATGTACTCGCATAGGTATTTATGTGGAATACTAGTATCGTTACTTTGCCAATTGTGGGTGTTACTTGCACGAAGCAGTGTGTGAGGCAGATCGACTGTCAGCGTTGCAAGATCGCCACCGTAATCGCCGTTGCCAGCCATTGCCAATTTGGTTGCTAGTTTAGGCGCATTTATCACTAGCCACTGCCGACAGCCGCCATCCATTTACATCTTTGCATTCAAGCAGAATAACGTCCTTCTGGAGCCATCAAGAATGGCTCTTTCGTGTATAGGCCGAATGTCTATGGAAACAGGAAAGAAACTTCTTGAAAGGACAGATGGACAGACGTCTCCGAGAATATATCAATTCTCTCTACCAACTTGACAGTTCTCAGTCTCACAGATGAGTTCTCCTATTGAGCTGATGTAAACTGGCCCATGTTTGCATGCCATCCAGTCCCTTCATCAGATTGCTCAGTGTGTTTGTTACAAAATCATCAGCTTCTCGAAAGTGTCGCAGATACCTTACAGTCTCTTGGTGGGGTACCTTCCACGAGATCTGGATTGGAGAGTCGTCCTTCCTCGACCCGGGATGCGTCCTCCATGTCCAAAGTAGACACAATGACTACGTACAAGGGATGAAAAATCTGATGTGGAAACTTGCTTCTAGAGCTGAAAGTGTGGTGGAAGGGGAGGGATCAAGACCGTCCCGTGCGATGCAAGGGATGGATGGTGATACTGGTTTCTGCCGACTTGACCAAGGGTTTGCTTTCTCATGTAGGGATGACAAAACTTGGAACTGTGCGAGGCGGTCTTCAGCCAAATGCAGATTGCCCAACAGTTAGCAGTACCACTTGTAGGGTCCAAAAGGACGGTTGGACCATTCTTGGTGTGATCAACATCCAACTGAGCCGATGACGAAGAAGTAGCCGGACAAGACAAAGGTCACCCGGTTCCTTGTGACGTGCAGTCATCATCAACAAATGGCTCCTCGCCTCTCTCCATCCGCCACCGATTCGTCGCCTCCAACCATCCCGGCAACCCTTTAAGTAACCACCCCCATTTCCTCAGAAACCCTTCCGACATCTCCCACCCCGTCATGTCCCAGGGTGGCGACCAGGCAATGATGCCGCGTCGCTCGATCTCGTCGTCGGGATAGCCCTCGTACAGCCCGCCGATGCAGTCGGCCCACAGCTCGTCTTCGTCGAAGGTGCCGGCGGCCCGGATCAGGCGGTCTCGTCCCTCGGGACACGGGAACAGGTCGATCCAGTCGCCATGCGGCACCGTTTGTTGAAGGGTGGTGGGCAGGAGTGTTGAAGGGAGTAGTTCGGGCTTGGCAGGGTAGGGGACGACGTGGATAACCTCCTCATCACAGTCGAGCGGCGTGACGAGGATGCCCGAGATTAGAGTGCGGTTGACGGCCAGGGCGCGGAGCGCGTTGAACTGGAGGAGTGTGATGAGGTGGTCTGGACAAAGGGGGAAGACAATGTTAAACTGCTCTTTTCTAGGTTTATCTGGCAACAGGGGATTTCTCGCATTGTAGAGTTGCTTGATACGGGATGCTGGGACGACGGAGACGGATTGCTTCTCAATGTCCCAGCATTCCACCAGCGCCTCCGATTTGATCAGCGTCCCGGCTACGGCACTAGATGCTTCGGCGTTCTTTGCTAGGGCTTTGCGTTTTCCTACTGGACAGGTAGCTTGGATAATTGGGTACCCCTGGTCGGACTGGTCCTGACACCTGATTTGAACGAAAGAGAAACAAGGCATTACTTACGGTATGCCCTCGTGTTGAGTCTAGTCTGTGCCCGTCTGCGTGCTGCTGCATCCTTGGTCCCAGTCCAGTCGTCTTCCCTGCTTATCGCCTGTACGCAGTGAGCAAATCATGTCGTCTCGGTGAGTGAAGGCGGCCTGGTACGTACCTCGGCCAACTGTGGCATCGACGCGAGTTGGATGCGTGGTGCTGTTGCATTTGTAGGTTGATACGTACTAGTCATGATGCTAGCGGACGTGCGAATTGCGGTGGTGATGAAATTGGTGATGAATGATGCAAGTTTCTTTGGGCCAGCCAAGGCGGTTTATGCAGCCTGCTCACAATGACGAGTCTGCCCTCGGCGGGAACGGAGGAATTGATATGCCTACCTCGTACTAGTCAGTATTCCGCAAATGAGGCGCAGACGGACAGGGGCAGCCAGGGGTCAGCGAATGGCTTGATATCATTGATCGCTTATATAGGGTCTAACTTGAACAGGGCTAGCGTCATGCAGCCTGCTCACAGTACCCAGTACTCGCTATTATGGACCAGGCACCAGGATCACGAGTTCCAGCATCACACATGCACCACTTGATTGACCAACAAGCGCAATACTATGGTTTTCCGAGGGTATCTTCTAGGAAATTGGGACAGGAACTAGAGATTAGGCAGTGAGCCCCATGCTTCATGCAGCTGGCTCACGATATCTGATGCTCGGAATAATATCCAGTAGGCAAGCATCTCAGGCCTTGTTCAATAAGAACAATATAGATTGTAGCAACGCCCTGATTTCGACGCTTCTTTTCATATCACCAGAAACATAGAACGCAGTCCATGACATTGAATTATCTGTTTCTTAGCATTACACCTTCCCACATTGACTCCAGTCCTCGTTTTGAACATGACTTTCCATCCTGACACTCTCCCCAATCTCAATGGCAAAGTCTTCATAGTCACAGGTGGGAACTCCGGCATGTAAGTTTCCCTGCTCTCCCCTCTCAACCACGAAGCCCGAATCGTTGATCTTACCAAACCACAGAGGCTACCATAGCGTAGCCCACCTAGCAGAACACGGCGCTCATGTTTACATGTGCGCCCGATCCCCAGAGAAGGGCATAGCAGCAATCGCCAACATCAAGAAAATGTACCCCTCAGCCAACATTGACCTCCTGCAAATGGACCTCAAGGACCTCACCAACGTCGTCGCGGCCGCCAAGCACTTCCTCAGCCTGGAAACCTCCCTGCACGGCCTGGTCAACAACGCAGGCATCATGGCGACGCCCTTCGAAATGACCAAAGATGGCCACGAGGCCCAGTGGCAGACTAACTACCTCGCGCACTGGGTTTTGACGGAGCACCTGCTTCCTCTGATGCTACGGACTGCCAAGACGCTCCCCCCCGGCGGCGTGCGTATCGTCAACCTCACTTCGTCGGGCCACTTAGGCGCACCCAAGGGCGGCATCAATTTCAAGGACCTATCGCTCAAGGACAGCGGCCCGTGGTCGCGTTACGGACAGAGCAAGCTCGCCAACATTCTGCACGCCAAGACCCTGAATAAGATTTACGGTCCCGGCTCTCGCAGTGCACGGAACGCGGAGGGCGAGATCTGGGTTTCGTCGGTGCATCCAGGTCTGGTTGAGACGAACCTCGCCACGTCGGTGGGGGAGTCGGGGTCGCGCATGATGAGTCTTCTGTCGGTCTTACGCATGTTTGGATTGATATGGCCTGCCGATAAAGGGTCGTGGACCAGTCTGTTCTGTGTGGCGAGTCGAGATATGAAGGCCGAACAGAGCGGCACATATTTCGAAATTTTCAGGAGGTTTGGAGAGCCAAGGTGGCAAAGCAGTGCGGCCAAGGATGGGAAGCTTGCAGAGAGGTTGGAGGAGTGGACTAGGGAGGTGATGAGGAAGGAAGGGTGGGTTCAGTAACGGCGTCAACCGGTTTCGGTCTTTTCCGATTATGGTAATAGTCTTATTGTTTTGTATTATTATATATTCTTATTTTCCTTATTTAATTATTCATCCGGTGGTTACGCCAGAGCTCCGTCGGCCCCAAGACTAAAGAAGGGACCATATTTTTGTTTTCTTTTTCCATGGACGGGCTAGAAACCGAGAGCGGTGTTATGAAACAAGGGCGTTTGTAAGTGACGATAGCTGTCACTTCGTATATATCCAAAACTCGACATATGGGTAGAGAATTAAGATTCTTGTGCCCGATACTCTCACCGCGCACTACTCCCTGCCCCAGGGAAGGCTCAAGTACAGAAGAGGAGCATGCTGTTGCGAACCATGTGTATCCGTCTCTTCAAATCCAGCCGAAGCGCGATTCCTTGGAATGGTGGCTTTGAACGCCCATGCAGGGTCCCACCACAAAGCCGCAACAATGTCGCTCTCTGGAATGTTATACAGCTGGGCCACGGCTGCTCCTGACAGTCGGTTTGACTCTTTCACCTTCCTGTACAACTCCTCGTCCTGGAACATGATGTCAAAGGTCACTTGATATGGACCTGAGATTTTGCTGCGGCAAACAGAGGCAACATCTCCAAGATAGCACGTTCCGGCAGGCGGCTCGGGCTGCAGGTAATACTTTTTGGGCTGCCCGACGGCCTTTGCTGGAGTCTCGATGTTTGCGACTGCAGCGTCGGCTTTCGTGACGACCTTTGGACCTAATCGATCGATCAGTAATTGCAACTTCGCGTCCGCGGATGGGTGTGGGACCTACGAGGAGTATCGACAAACGTGTTAGATCCATGGAACTCCTCCACCTTGATAGGGAAGAGCCCAACAGCATCGGCTTTGTGGATGAGATGGTACATGCAGAATTCAGGTACCGGACCTATGGGTGTTTCACAAGGAGTGATAGGCCATGCGAAGTTTCCAGCAGTTGCGAGCTGGCCCGGATATGGGGCATGAGTCAAGCCCATCTTGGTCCTGTTGGCCACCTCATTTGCCTGCTCCTGCGAGGGTGCCCTACATTGGACGACGATGCAAACCTCC